CAGGACAAAAGGAGGTCCCACAAAGCGCCTACACCGGCCGCATTTGCGGTCGGGGTAGACGACGGATGGGGCCCACCTACGAAGGCTGTCCAGGCCTACACGAGATGAGGCAGGATAAAGAGGAATTATCCCCCTCGATCCCAAATCATTGAGGCCAATTTCTAGCCATGGAATAATGGCGCGCGGTCTTGGCTTAAGCTACCGAGCATCGCATCCGACCGCCAGAGCGGTGGGACCCTCGGACTTTCGGCCCAAAGACGGGGAAATTGGAAACATCGGTGAAATTTCCCCGTCTTCGTAAAAGGGCTTACGGAGATCTTAATACTGGATGGTTGTTTCCAAATATCGCCCGGAAGCGTCCCGGGGTTCGTCTGCAGGTTGCGAGAGTCGCTGCAGTGGATACTGAGCGCAGGGAAGGCAGACCCAGGCAAGATGGGTCGCGATGCGGGAGACATCGTTGAAATTGGTCTTAGACTTCGGAGGCGCTATCGTCGGGAGGATCGATGTCATGTTATGGGGCGACGTCTGTACTAGGATGCAGAGTCGCGGAAATTGTTCTCGGACGGTATCGAGTTCGGTGTCTGAACTGATACCGTGGAGGCTTTTTTGATTTGCCCGGCCGACGGCGATTAGTTGGCAACCGTGGCGGGTTTTCGGTTTGGATTGGAAAGGTAGGCGAATTTGAGTCCCAATTCAACGGTCTCAGGCATATCCGTAGGTACAAGACGGCGTCTAGGAATTACTGAGTGTTCTGAAATCTTGAAGCTCGCTCGAAGGGTGGAGTACGACAATATCATTTTCGAAACATGTTTTTGTTGAGAATAATGCTCAAGGGAAAGAGATATATGTATATTAAACTGAAATTTTTAGATTCCTTTCGCTTTTTACCTTCATCTTTAGACAAATTAAGTCAAAAACTTGAATCTTTTCAATGTGTAGAAATAAAAATATATTTTTCTGATCAACACAAACTTAATTTCACCACAAATAACTTATAACTCTATATTTTTAATTCAATATTTAAAGATGTTTTGCCATGAAATATGAGATGATCAGACTGTCACTAAGATAAATTAAACGTCAAAATATTTTTAAGCAAATGATTATATCCGCCTACGGTACCTCGCGGTCGAAATTATAGAGAGTGACTCTATACAGTATAGACTCTTTAATCCGAACTAATTAAAACACAGGCTTAAAGAGATACATTCGAATTATAGATATTTTCGGATTACTGGATAGTAAATATGTACGTATGTAAATATGTTTATGTACATACATATAATATGAGTTAGATTTTATGTGTTATTGAGAAGGCAAACAATAACAATGAAACCAAACATTATCGTAAAATATGTCGTATAAATATCGACATGTTTGCATGGCAATAATATTTCAACTAAAAAGATCTAGTCGAGAAAGGTTCCAACTCATAAAAGGGTTTCCCCGAGACTGCTGGGGAATTACCAGTGGCGGCCCGTGGGTTTGAATACAGGAGGGGCGCATTTTGAAAAGAGGACGTACATCATAATAGCTGCGGGGGGGTATGGGGGGCGGTAGCACCCTGCTTGGCGCCGCAGGCGAAAAATTGTAAGGAATTTGAAGGTCATTGTGTTTTGCAAGTACCCCAAAATGAATAATGTCAGTGTGTAAAGTAGCTACTTAGATACAATACGAGAAATAAAATTACGTGTGGGGGCTGAAGTGGATAATCAATCAACCAACCCAGTTAGGATGTAATTATGTAGATTACTGTAATAGTTCATTCTGTATAGTTTTTGAAGTTCCTTTAAAAACATGGGCATCACTAAGATGTTTATCTAAAACGGGATCAATTTTTGCACTAAGTATCAGTTCTAAAAATACCACTTTGTTTACCGAGTCACTTTTTTTATTATGTCCACGAAGAGGAAGGTTACATGTACCACATAGTTTTAAGATATTTATAATTTTTGAAAGAAGATTTTTCTTAACTGTTTCGTTATGACTATTTATTTGTTCTGCATAAGCAATATTTAAACAAGAAGCAATATTTACTCTTCCTAAAAGTAAAAAACTCACTAACTTATTTTTGTTTTTAGGAGAATTTTCATGTTTCTTAATTTTAATTTCTAAATGTTTCAAGTCAGAAACTCCAGTTTTCGTCCAGTTTTCTTCGCCTCCTCCAAACAATAAACATACAAAACAAAAAAATCTATTTGTTTGGTCACAACCACACAACCACAGGGTCTTATCATAAATGTTTTTATCAAATTTGCGAAAGCCGGCCCACTTTTGCACTCTTTCTGCACCTGAACTAAATTCAACACTGGCGTTGGACGTCCGTTATTTTTCAATTCGTCTTTATCCTCTAAACTTAAATTACTAATAACAAGTTTTTTTATTTCACAAACCCTCATTTTAAACTTAAACTTATAAAATATAATGTCTTAAAAAGCGCCAAAGCAAAACACGTATAATCACACTTCAGTGATACGGGTTACTGCCTCATGGAGTCCCAAAACAAAAAGCTCGCGAGCCTTTCGCCTCCACGTGCCATTCGTGCCAATTTGTCCAATCATATGTAAAAATATGCTTGCACGATGGACTCAGATTTCACGATCCGCGACGGAGTGGGGACTGCGCGCGCGGTCAAACATAACTCTTTGGCACGATCATAGATGGCAGAAGGCATTAATCTGAGCTACGTTCACGGAGTACATGCACTTTATGCAACCAACCTAACATCCAAGAGATATTGAAGCATGCTATTTAGATTTCTTATTGATTTAAATAAATACATTATTTTAAGTTTATAGTTTGAAAATATCTAGGGGGGAGGGCGGAGTCCCAGAGTCCCCCTTCACGAGCCGCCACTGGGAATTACGTATTTAGCGGGTACTTTTTATTATGTAGTCTAACTTTATAATCCGAACTATATACGTTAAACCGAATTTTGTTCAAATTAGAGTTTTGTTCGGACCATCGAAACGGGCAATCGTCGGGCCGGATTAGTGGATATTCGGATTAAGGTGAGTTCAGATTAAAGTCTATACTGTATAATATAAAAACACTATTACCATAACCCGTATAAAATATAAAATGATTTTTATAATGGTTCAATATTGTTATTATATTGTATTAAATGATGTGCCGCTCTCTACGCACATCGATAGAATCTATAATCGTCTAGACAGAGTTACACTGAACGTAGATCTATATTCTATCTCTGTCTTTTGCACTTGGTAGGGAATAAGGAAATGCTTATTTAGTGGGTGTAAACGGACTTGATTTAGCCGTCCTTAGAAATGCCATAGCATAAGCGTGGACGAGGGGTCTAATTCCGTGGCTATAATAAATTTAAAAAACATTATGTTTTATTATCTTTTTTCCATATTTTCTATATCTTGCCTTTTACGCAGACACGCCAATGCATTTTCGTTTCCCGCACGCTTTATCCTCCTTACTAGTCCAAAAGCTAGCGATGAGTCACTCTCTATAATTTCGACCGCGTAGTATAGATGAATAATTTTAAACATATACAAGTTTATCGAGATAATTTAAAAATATTTAATAGAGATGACAAAAAATATTCGATTATTTTGTCAATGAGTGTATATATCAATGGAATTTACGAGGTCTGTCCCAGTGTAAAACCAAACACTTTAATTAGTGAATTAATTCATGAATAAGTTCACGATTTAACTAAGTTGCAAATGTTAAACTGACATGATTCCAACAAGGCGAATAATTTAGAAACTTAAATCTATTCTACCCATCAATTTCGGAAAGTTTCCCAAAATGATAAATGAGAAACAATATTAAACACCTATTAAATTATATAATAAAAATACAGAAAGTGTGATAATGTTTATTGATTTCAAATTCAATTGAGGCAAATGTCACAAAAGAAATTAATTAAAGTGCACTACTATAAATTACAAAATTAATGATTAAATAATTACAGACAGAAGTATTATTACAATTTCTTAGGCTTAAGAAGTCAAATAAAAAATTTTAACATACGTTAATTCAAATGATATATATTTATCATTTACAAAAATTGATTAATTGAAATTGATCAATGCAATGGCCAACAAAATAAAATGAATGCTGAAGGGGATATCAATCAACATCTGGAGCAATAAGTTTAAAATTTCACATTCTAATTATTAATAAATACATAATGTTACATCCTATTTCTTGACCCACTCAGCATTCCAGTTAAAACACTGCTATAAATCTAATCGTATTATTCATAGGAATAATTTCTAAGCCCTTGGAATACTGAAATCAATTTACAAATAGGTATAAGAGGATCAGCAGATCAGAATTGCATATAATCTAGAAAGAACAACTATTTTGATTACCATTCCCTGACAATACAGATGCAATTACTTTGCCAGAAAATGTTACAACTAGTTTTATAAAATAATATAATTATTTTAATATTTAGGGCTCCAAGTTATATTATATATTTGTAAAAAGTACACACAATGAGATTGACCAGAATTAAACTTTACGACTTAATTTTGAAGATAATTACTGGTATATTTTACACTACCTATATGTTCAACAAATACGATAAAAATTTTTTTCACTGTTCGCATGTAAAAAAATTGATAATCTATTATTTAGTATTATGATTGTTATAGGGCATTCCTCCTATTTTTTTGTTATTGTAGTAAAATGTAATTATTTCTGCATTCACAGGTATGCATTTCTCTTCAATACAATACCTGTCAACTACACATCATATCATTTATATTGGCTCACTATAGTTCTATTCATAATTTCTCCATTTAATAATATAAATAATAATTCATAATTATGAGTCTAAAAAATAATTTACAAAGACTACTAATAAAGCAGATATATGTTTTTTAAAATATGTCTCAAAATAAATAAATTATGACATTAGTCACCATGAATCACCAATATTTAAAATAATAAACTACCTAATAAACCCTTTTTTATATAAAAAAAAATTGCATACATGTGAATAATTATGTAAGTATTATATAATGACCAAAAACTACAATGTTGTGTAGCAAAAGATGTTGGATACATTCCATTGTTCCATTATACTGATGTATGTACTTCAATTCATATTTCATGTCTTTCATTATATGAAATTACATGAAATCTATATCTATAATGCTAATCATTATGATAATGAACATATACAATTCGAAACCCTGATAACAAAAATTTTGTAAACCAATTCTGAACTACTGTGACCCAAATTCATTTTCTGCCCAGGAAAATGAAAATGGATAGTACTGACTTAATATGCAGTGCTAAGCAATAACCAGAATTATACATAGATACATGAAATCATTTTCATTCGACATGTTAATGAAATCACATAAAAGAAGAAAAACAATAATTCATAGTTATTTTATATGAATAATGCAATTTTTTACATGGCCACATGGAACTCATAATTACTTGTACTGTACCAATGAAGAAGGCAAAGCAATCATGCGTGAGTGCATTCCTAGATGGCGAATCCATTGGTACAGCCTACATAGAGTTCTAAAGTTTACTTCTTTACACCATTTTGGTTGACTGATCCTTTGGCAGATACCACTGGGGAAGCACTGAAAAAATTACAGATAATAACAGATACAATGCAATTTTTTACCTTTTTTCCAACCAACATTTTCACTTTCAAACAATTTTTTTTTTATCAAAAAACAATAATTATGACTTGTAGAGAATACTTTGCAGTTTTCCAAACCCTGCTTGGATTTTCTGTACGACCATTATTTCCCGAGTAATTGATTGGCAAAGTCAAAAATGATTTTTTTGCTTTGATCAATGACAACTCAGCGACAAATCATCGTACAGGGCTCTAGAACCGCTCAAATTGAAGATAATTAAATTAACTAAAAGAGCTTCATGGGGAGCTTACCAAAAAAAATTTTTTTTTGAAGAAAAGCAAAAATTTTCAATTTTTTTTTCCTTGATTTTCTTATGATTATTCATGCTGCTAAAAAATTTTAAAATTCAGATACTAGAAACTTGAAGCTGCAATTTCCTTTTTTTTTATTCTCTCTATGACCATTTCCTTCCAAGTTACAGCTCTGAAAATCGCCGAAAATTTTGTGATTTTTTTTTTAATATCCTAATTTCTGTGCCTAGTGCAGTAACTAAGGAGAACTGTTAAAACATTCACAAAATTTTAGTGAACTTGGATATCAAATGTGGTATAATAAATGAACAAAAAGAGGTCATTAAGGAGGTTCGATACCGAAAAAAAAATGGTAAGAAAGTTTTCAAAGCAATTGAATCTGTTAATAAATATGCAAACTGCCTCGTGTAAAAATATCAGATCGATTGCCAATGTAGTTTTTTTGAAAAATGATATAAAAAATTATGCTCTTATACACAGGCTCTTATGGGAGTTGAGGAAAAAACTTTAATCAAACGTGAATATTGCTCTTAAAAATGATTAGGACCGGGAAAATAAAATTGTAATTAAAGAATTAATATTACTAAACATTTTAAAACAATAAAAATATGCACTTACAATTGAGATAATGGAATGAATATATAACGTTTTGACAAATTTGAACAAACATCTGATCCAATGAAAGTAAATATGGCAACACTGTACGCTATATTTAACGCTTCGACTGACACGCTATATTTGAATAGCTCGATTATAGACTATACAATTATTCCAGTCGAAAACATATGTAGTAATAATTAATATTAAATAAATTTTTTGTGATCTAATGCAATATAGCAAATAGCGGCAGCGAGTGAACATGTCGTCTGCTGGCTCTTCCAGTAATTTATGTAAAAGGTGCAATAAAAATGTAGTTAATGCACTAAAATGTGACAATTGTCAAAGTCTGTTTCATGCTAGTTGTGCTAAATTGGCTAGTACTGTGAAAATTTTAAGTGACAACAGAATTATTTGCTGTGAAACCTTGGATGATCCCGAGACTGACTTTTTCGATGCCAAGGAAGTTTTCACCAAAACTGACATTAAGGTAGATAAACAAGTTTTTAATTATATAATAAAACAAAAGGATATAATTATTGAAGAACTGCGGGACAAAATTAATTTGTTAAACAATCATATAAACCTATTGAACAAATATGTGTCGGATTTTAATAAAGGGGAACAAAAACTTAAAGAGATAAATACTTCTGTTGAGAAAGTAAAGAAAGTATCGCAAGAAAATGTGACTAAAAAAAGCCCTGTGATTAAGAACTGTACTAGTTCGACAAGTACAAGTAAAAACTTATTGTATACAAACAACAACCAGCATTCTAATATAATAACAAATAATGACGTAGCAGAAGGACTTAAACAAGTAGAAGGACAAATAAAAATGAAAGAGTGTATTCACCTAACTAAGACTAATGAACCAAATGCAACTTCCTCACAAGAACAGCAAAAATGGCAACAAGTAGTAAAAAAACGGCGTCAAAGGCCAATTGTTGTTGGTAGTAACGTTGACAATTTGCCTGTGAGAGGCGTCCCTAAAACTGTTGATCTTCACGTATATCGTTTGGATGTCAACACAACACCTGCAGAATTGTTAAACTTTTTAAAACCGAGTTTCCCTGAAGTGCAATGTGAGCCTTTAAATTCTAAACATCCGGAACTGTATGCATCATATAAAGTGTCTGTCTCCCAAGAAAATTTCAAAAAGGCTATGGAAACCCAGTTTTGGCCAAAAGGAGCGTGCATTCGGCAGTTTTTTTGTATTGCGCAAGAAGAGAAAGCCAGAAATAGCTTGATTTTTGACCCCGACATTTTACTATTAAATGTTCGAAGTTTAAACGTAAGAAAAATTGACGATCTTTATATAGATATGTGATTATTTAAATTTGTTTTCTATGCTTTACTGAAACTTGGGAAAATCCTGAATCTGTGCATCTTTACATATTAGTGGATTTAAATTGATTAGTTATTTCTGTAGATCTGATTTCACTGGGGGTGGGGTTGCAATATTTGTTAAAAACGATATTGATGCTGCACTGTTAGATTTACAAAATTATTGTGTCGAAAAACATTTTGAAATTTGTGCTTTAAATTGGAAATTTAATAATATTGATACAGTACTGTTAAACTGTTACAGGTCTCCTTCGGGTAATGTAAATATATTTTTTGACAAATTGTCCGATGTACTTAATATTATGAGTAAAGCGAATACGCAAATTATCCTTACAGGTGATTTTAATATTGACTCCTTTAATAATTCAAAGGATTTTAACGTTTTGTGTAATTTATTGGCATGTTTTGATTTAGTTAGTTTAGTGAAGTGGCCTACTCGGGTAACAGAGACTACCGCGTCTACAATCGATCATATCTTTATAAATTTTGGATTTACTGGTCCTTGTTGTGTTTTTGACAATATAGTATCTGACCACAGAACTGTGCTATGTCAGTTAGGTATAACAGATACTGTAACAATTGATAAAAATAATTTTTCTTTGAGAAGAAGTTTTAGTGATACAGCTATTTTAAAATTTCGTACAGCTATTTCAGATGAGTACTGGCATAATCTTTATAATTTAAAACATATTAATGATGCATTCGCGTATTTTAACAGTGTATTTTTATATTATTTTAACGTTCATTTTCCTCTTCGTAAGTATTACAATAAGCCATGTGATAAAAAATGGGTTGATGATGAAGTTAAAGCTTCTAGTAAACAATTAAAGAATGTTTACAATCTTCGGAAAAGTTTCCCTGAATTAACTCCTATTTATAACTTTGAAAAGAGGCGGCATCGGCATTTGGTTGAGCAATCTAAAAAAACTTATTATCAGAACAGAATCATGTTTTCAGAAAATCAACTACGTTCCGCTTGGAAAGTTCTATCTGAATTGTGTAATTATAATAAATCACATAATAATGTCCAACTAAATGTTGATGGGGTTTCTTATGATGAACCGGCAATGGTGGCTTCATTATTCAATGAATTTTTCATAGACGCCCCTCAAAGGGTGGTTGATCGAATACCTAATGCGGTAAACAATTTTAATTCATATAATCATTTCAGGGAAAATAGTAGCTCTCTATACCTGAAACCATATACTCCCACCGAAGTTCTTGAATTGCTCAAAAAAAAGTTAAAAAATAAAAGATCGTCTGGGTCAGATGGAGAACTGTTAAAAC